TACTGGCCCGCCTGGTGCGTTCCAGCCTGGGTTTTTTGCTACGATCTGAACTTAGTATCAGCGTGTACTTGGAATTCAACTTCGAAAATTTGGCACTGTGTAACCGAAGATTAGCTGTTCTTTTCCGTTTCTGATAGGGCGTAGTAAATACAATACCGTTTGAATAATTCAACAGGGAAACCGAAAAAAGTTTAAATAAACCAAATAAGGGTAAGAAGGCGGCGCATTTATCACTTTTTGTCACATACTTATTCGTTCATTTCTGAAAGTAACCGGACAGTGAAAATAAAATGGTTTTCTACAAGCCTAATGAAGATTTTTGAAAATATTCGGTTTATTCACATTACTTTGTGCAGAACACACATATATGCAGAAATATTGCTTTCCTCGCTCTCACAGATGTCATACAGATAAACATAGTAACATTTCGAGAAAGCACAATGTCTTCCGAAAATTAAAACTGCTATTGCTAATTCGGAAACTACAGAGTTGATCCAAGTATTGTATCTTTGAAAAATTTTCTAAAATATGCAGATTTCTTTTCATTGATGCAAAATTTCATTTGTGACTCATACTGTGTGGAATTTTTCTCCTTGAGGATAGCCGTCTGCATCACGCTCTGTTCGTTCCGGCTGCTCCGTTTGATGCGTGGTCCATGATTGATCAGGAAGCGAAACGAGCTTTGGAAACGATTGAATCGTTGCCGCTAAGGATTTTCCCACTCTATGACGATTTCTTCAGTCTTCTCATGGATGATTTGCCAGTGAAAATTTTACTGAATAATGTAAGGATCATTTCGAAGTTGTAATCTGTGGCAGGTGAAAAGCCGAGCCGTAATTTGGAAACACCAAAACTGGGCTGTCCGGAAGTGAATAAAGTAATAAGGAGCGACAAGATCCAACGTATTTTTAACCCCAGTATGGGATTGATTTAATGCATTGAAATTGTGAGGTAAAAGGAAAAGATCTTCAGCACAGTTCATGTGGCACGAAACCGTTTTACATGTTATGAGGTCATGTGGAAATGAATGTGTAGGAAAAATCTGCCTGTTTTGCATCCTTTGGCTAGAAACGCAGACAGCCGTAAGGTATGGTTGTCTGTGTTCATCAGTACAGCCCCTGAACCGCTATGCTAAAACGTCAGGTGACAAGGTGTTAGAAGGGAGGACAATATAAATGGAAAGCATTAGAGAAATAACACTGGGGTTTATTAACAATTAAAGGGGAAGCTCATGTCATCTTAAGCTCTAAGAACTATTGTTTTTTGGTTGTAAAAATTATTGAGCTGTGAAATTTTGATGAAATAATTTCAGGATTGGACGGAACTCGAGAAATGTGCCTCGGCAATACTACAGTTCGAAAAGTTAAGCAGTTGTTTGCCCACTTTCAGATGCAAAGGAAAATGGGCAGCGCAAGTGATCGAAATTTTAAAAAAAATAAGAACGAGTGTTAGTTTTTTTTTTTGAAAATAGAGATGGATAATAAGTTGTTCAGCTTTGGCGTATTTATTTTTCATGCACTTGCTCATCTGTTATTATCTAGAGGGACAGGCCAGTGCACGATAGAACATACAGGTAGTACTTTCCAGTTCTTCAGAACAATTTCGCCACTGTTTTGTGCCATCTTTTTTGAAGAATTATAAATTAATGTGTTGGTTTATTGCTCATTTTTTAAATCCATTTTTTCAGTTCAGGCGCACGATGAAGAATGAGATAATGAGAGGAGTAGGTCTGATGAATTGCTTATTTCAGACTAGAGAAAAAACCGAA